TACACTGAAATTAGCGATAGTCAAGATACGCAAACAACCTAGTTGTCTTTCAATGGATGGAGGAACATTTTCTTAGGACCCAAGAAGCCTAGTAGAGAAAAGAGCAAACCGGGAGAGGGGGAGTGGCTGTGGATTGCTGGGTGGGTGGTGGGTGGGAGAATTTCAGAGAGAGAGGTCTATCTAAGTGAGCTGGCAGAAAACAAGTACATTAAACACATTGGTTGTGCACAAATTGTTCAAGAGACAAATTAGTGAAAATTCTATTTCCCATAGCTGTTTGTTCGTTTGTTGATTTTTGTACCATAAAGGTGTGATTCTGCACTCCATTGCTGGCATTTATACATTTTGGTCCATTTATCAGACCTTTTATTTGGGGATGAATGATGTCTTTGAACAATGGGATGATCTGGCCACTTTACATCCTTTTCAATCTTTTTAGGACATTTTTACTCATTTTTGTGTTCAAAAATTTTTTGAACTAATTTTAAAAGGTATCAATGACCCTTCTTTATACTGGGCCATGTTGTTCTGGAATTTCGAAATGTACTCTCAGCCTCCAAGTGAGTCTCCTGAAAGTTGTTTGGTTCAGATGAATATTTCCACATGTTGGCTTATGACTCAATTCAGTCTGTGCACTCTGGAGGCCATTTCCTTTTACAAATTTGTGCATGTTTTAAAGCAATTTTGCCTAACCTGCAGCTTATTTTGTTTCTAAAAATTTTTGAGTTCGGGATCCCTGGGTGGCTCAGTGGGTTAAGCATCTGCCTTCCGCTCGGGTCATGATCCCAGGGTCCTTGGATCGAGTCCTGCATCCGGCTCCCTGCTCTGCTGGGAATCTGCTTCTCCTGCCTCTTTCTTTCTCTCTCATGAATAAATAAATACAATCTTTAAAAGAAAATTCTTGAGTTAACTTTCCAATCCACAGGTGCTGACTTCGGCCAGGTGCTGCTCCAAGCGCTTCCCAGACCCCGCTGCATTGACGCCTCCCCATAACCTCACCTGCGAGATTCTACAAAGTATAACCCAGTTTTACAAAAGGAGGAACTTGGGGCGCAAGCACAGACCTGGGAGTAAATGTCAGAGGTCAGTTCGGACGGAGTCCAGGTTCCTCTCTCATTCATCAGTTCCTAATTATTTTTTTTAAGATTTTATTTATTTATTTGACAGACAGAGATCACAAGTAGGCAGAGAGGGAGGCAGAGAGAGAGGAGGAAGCAGGCTCCCTGCTGAGCAGAGAACCTGATGAGGGACTCAATCCCAGGACCCTGGGATCATGACCTGAGAGGAAGGCAGAGGCTTTAACCCACTGAGCCACCCAGGCACCCCCATCAGTTCCTAATTACTATTTTTGTATTTAAGTGGCCTTGATAAAGTCATTTTTAGACAGCCAAAAATACAAATTCCAGTAACTATGAAGGCATCTTTATTTCTTTATTTATTATAGTTAATATGTATAATATATACATAATATATTAGATATAATAATATATACATAATATGTATTATATATTATATTTAATATGTTTATTTATTATATTTATTTATTTTTGTGTACTTCGGTGGGGGGGATGAAGATTTGAAATACAGTGAGATTCTAACCCTGGAACAGGAAAGAAAGGAGAATATTGGTCTAGATCATTTCCGTGGTTTCGCCTCCAGTAACCTGGGCATGACGAGACACGCACCGGGCGAGCTCCTCGGGATGACGCATGGTTGTTGTCACAGGGAAACCAGCCTCCATGACTGACAGGGGACAAAATAGCAACGGAAAACTTTCCACGCCATGGAGCATCGCGCGCAGGTGCACGGGGCTCCGCTCGGCCGGTGTGTGCTGCCCCCGCGCGGCCGCACTGCCGTCCTGCACCCGCTGGGGATGGCACCTGAGAGCGCTCGGCCCCAAGAACGTGAGCAAGTCCAAGGTGGGCTGCTTGCCTTTCTGTAGCCCCAAGTCCTGGGCTGGGAGGGGAGTCTCTGTGCAGAGGGGCGCGGGGGAGGCGTGGCACCCCCTGGAATCGCGCAAGGCAGCAGCCACTGGTAACTGGGTTAACCCACTTGGTCCTCCCGGTTACCCTGCAAGGTGCAGACAGGGCCAAGGGAGGGGAAGTCGTTATTGCCCAAGGCCACACAGTGCCATAGTACACGGATGGCCTTGAACCTGGGTGTTGAGTAGGAAAGAGCAGGGGATGGAGGGCTCCGGGACTAAGAACCCACGTTCTTGGTGGGAGGCTTGGCAGGAAGGTGAGGAAGGAAGGTTGGCCGGGAAGGGACTCTGGGGTTTCTGGCCAATGGTACTACATGGCTGGGGCTAGGTGTGGGGGAGCTCCTGGCCTCTGTCATTGGATTTCCAGCTCTGTGGGCCTGGCTGTGACCTCTGCCTCCTACTGTCTGAGCAAGCGCAGAGCCACAGAGAGCCCTTGCTGAATCTTGCTTGGGGACCAAGCTCTGGAGGGGGTGGGGACAGCTGACGGAGCTGGGACTGAGACTCAGCTTGGTCTCGAGAGATGCCCCGAGGGGCTGCCTTGGTGGTCAGGTTCTTGCAACCTATCTTCTGCCTGGACCGCATGGCCCAGGGGTTTTGGTCAATGTGAAGTTGAAGACCATCAACTCAGCCTAGAGAGAGTGGCATTCTTGGTTTGGCGGTGCTGTGTGATAGTGGTGTGGGGTGGTGAGCCAAGGAGGGGAGGAGAGGGAGGGAGGAAAACAAATTGCAAATCCTAGTTTCTGTCCCTGCCATGTCATTCCCCACAATCTGTCAGGCCCTTCCCCAAACCCATGCCTCCTCCCCACCCCCACTTTGGTGGGCAGTACCACCATCCGCCTTTCATCCAAGCGTTTTGAGGGGGACTGCTGACCCGCGCCTTGCTTTACTTCTCTTTCTTAACCCTCTGTTGGGAGACAAGGGCACAGGTCTCTCCTGGTTCCACACACTGATCTTTGTTCTGGATTATCTTTTTGGGATGTCTGCCTATCGGACAACCTTGGAATCCATGGTGTCTCCCTCTGGGGCAAAGCACGGGAATATTCTAGCGTGATAACATCTCCGATCGGGAGCAAAGGGCAGGCTTGCTTACTGCCCGTTACAAAAGATTTGGGTTCTATAAGCTCAGGCTTACTGTCTCGTAATATACCACTGGGTGGACAGGGGTCCTATGGCCCTGTCCCTGTCACCCTGGGGGATCGGCGCCTCCAGGAACCAATGCTAAACACTTAGCATCTAGTACTGTGCTCAGTAGATGGTCCTCCCTCTCTGACCCGGGAAACTCGTGCTTCTGCTAGCAGCCAAGGAACTCGGGCAGGCTGGCTGATTAGCCGCTAGTAGGGTCCCATCTTGGACCTTTCCCCGTATATGACAGCGTCCAACGCTGTTGCTCTACGTTCTACATGTTTCTGGCATCTGTCCACCTCTCTCCATTCCCAGGACTTATTGTTGTGGATTCCTAGCTGATCCCTCCTGCCCTGCCCCTTGCCCCCTGCCCCAGACCCCTTCTTACTAGTCTCACCTCCTCACGAGCGGGAGGGACCGTCCTGGAGCCCACAGCAATCTCCTTGCTGCCTCAGCCCCTGCACGGCTCTCACCGTGCGATAGAATGTTCCACGGCCCACGTGGCCCTTGCCGATCTCACCCCTTGCCTTGTGCCCCTCCCCACTTCCCGCTTTATGCTCTAGTAATATGGAATCGGTTGAATCATGCTGTCTCCTCTGTCCAGACCATCCTTCACACTTCGGGAAGTTTCTAGCCATCCTTCAAAACTTCGCTCAAGGAGGCCTTTCTGAAGCCTGGGTGACCCCTTAGTGTCCTAATGTTGCAGATGCAGAGGGTGGGTGGGGGAGGGGCAAGGCAGAGGACAAAACGGAGGGGCTTTGCACACTTCACCCTCTGGACCCCAGCTGTTGCCCCGGGAGAGAAAACGAATGGGTGAACGGGACTTCCCTGGGCTGAGGTCATCCTTGACGTTCTGGGGACTCACTATGGCAGGTTTCCGTGTCCAGTTGGGCAAGTTGTATCCTGCACAAGGGTGCCTGGCCAAGGTGGCAAGTGCGGACTGAAATCATGCTGTGTGCAAGGGCTGGGGTGCCACCCACCTTTTCCGATGGGCGCAGGGGGGGCCTCCCATCACCCAGCCCCGCACTACAGCAGCCTGTCCCGCAGAGGGTGAGCTTTTAAAAATTTCTAAAAGGCGTGATGGCAACCTCCGCCAGCCTCCTGGGGCCACCTGCGGGGACCCAGCCCCTAAAGCAAACTGAGAAGTGCTGTGATCACGGTCCTGGATTCTTCCAGAGAATTCCAAGCCTTTGACCCTAATCCCAGCCTTTGGCAAGCTTTGTGAGATGCTCCAGACAGCCGATGGCCTCCTGGAGTGGGCTAGCTCAGCAAACTTTCCTTCAGTCCTTGCCTCTCTCCAGAACTCTCTGGGGCCTTTGGTCAGCACACTTTTTCTCCCCTACCCTCCTCTAACAGAGTGGCAGGTGTCCCTAAGATCCCAGAGGAAAAGTCACAACTTCGTTTCTCAGCTTTGTGACTGGGGTGGGGAGGGGGCTAGGTAGGGGCCTGGAGGTTTGGACAGCAGAGGCTTTCATCCATCTCCAAGTACCATGTCACCTGTGGTCCTGGGGGGTGGTCAAGATTTCTATTTCCTGGGCCTTTGATACTTCGGGATTTCCACGGATGTGGGCAGGGGCAACACCCAGCCACCCTCAGCCACGTTTCTGTACTTGATGACGGCCTCAGTTGCCCACTCAGGCCCCAGGGCTGACCATCGAGGACCTCCTCCAGCACCTCTGTGGACAGGCCAGACGTGGAGTCCGGGGAAGTCTCCAGCCAGGAAGGGGACAGGATGGAGACAACAGATACCCTAGTTTTGTGCCATGCAGGGGCGGGAGGCAGGTTCAAGAGGGTCTCTTGTGGCAACTGGGTCCCCATGGTAACTCGGCCCCCACCCTGCAGTATCTGTGAGGTCACCCTCCCTCTCCCAGCTGGAGGAAGGGGAGAAGGGCTAGATATGGAGGCCGTCCCGCCCGCCAGATCCAGCCTCCTGGGGATTCTGCTGCTGCTGGTGAAGCTGTTGGTGCTGGTGAGTGTGGCACGGGGGGCACTGGGGTGGGGTTCCTCCCAGCCCTCACAGCCACCTCAGAGCTGTTGGACCGCGTGGACCTGTCCCATCCGGTGGCACTAGGTGACTGCCTGCCTCAGAAACCCCAGCCCCAAGCCACGGTGCCCATGGTGGGGTGTGCAGCCAACCCCAGGTGGCTGTCTCCACACCGCTCCCTAGGGCTCCTGGTGGTCCTCTGGACAAGGGAGCATGGGGTCCAGAGAGGGGGATGTGGGGCTCTGAGGAGGGGCTGTTCAGCCCCAGGACTCAGGTGGAGCTTTCCCGCTTACAGACTCTTTCCCTACCCAAGCTCACTCTTTTCTCCCCGTGGATGGGAGACAGGACATCCAGGACAGAAGCCGGGTCCCTCTGTCTTCATAGGTCCCCCAGGCCCTCGGGTCACTGCCCCCATGCCTCCCATCTCTCTACCCTACCTGGGGGCACTGCCCTTTGCCCCCAGCTGCCATCGTGATACCAGCAGGCAACCGGTGGACAGGAGAGCCCAGGTGTTTGGGAGAAAAAAAACCTGCCCAGGATTCAAATCCCGCAGGATCAGAGGGCTGAGAGGGGTGGATGGTCCTGCCTTCTCTAATAATAATAATAAACCCACTTCCTTCCTTCTAGAATATTACAAACACTCACTTAAATCCGGGGGAAAGGAAACAACGATAACTGAAAATACTTTCTAAAACCACTTCCCGAGAACGGAGTCCTTAGAAGTGGGCAGAGAACGATCCTTCTTGTGGGGGAAATTGAGGCCCGGAGAGAAGGAGGCCCAGCCGGCAGGGGGTGGGGGTGGGGGGGTAGGGGGGAATGTAGGGCCCCTCCCCCACGTGTGTGACCACAGTTGGCTCTCCCTCCTTCCGAAGCTGGTCCAGAACCGGGTCCACCTGTACAATCTCCTGCTTCTCAAGATTCTCTTCTTCAACCACTGGCTGTCGGGGCTGGCCCAGGAGGCTTGGGGGTCCCGCGGCCGCCAGACCTTTCCGGCCCCTGGGCTCGACGCCAGCCCCCTGTGCCTGGTGCTGCAGGAGGGGCTGGGACTGCTGTGGGTCCCCGTGTGGCTGGGGCTGCGGGCACCCCGGCTGGCGTGGGCGGGCGTACGGCGCTGTGCCCGGGCCTTGGGCCTGGCGCCGAAGCGGCTGGGCCTGTCTGCGGCCACCTGCATGGACCTGCTTCTGTCCTGCCGGCGCGGTCTGATGTCGGTGGGCTTGCTGCTGTCGCTGCTGACCTGGAGGCTATGCCGGAGGGCGCGTCGTTGCAGCCCGCGCGGGCTGCTCAGCAAGGTGGGCAGGCCGGGCGTGGGCCGGGCCGAGAGATGGCAGACCTGGGGGGGTCCCGGGCCTGGCCACCTGCCCATCCGCTCGTCCATCCTCCAGGCGCTGCTGGACAACTGCGTGGCGCCGGAGCTCCCGGTGCTGCTGAGACGTCTGTACTGGTGGGTGGAGACCACAGCAGCCCTCGCCTGGCATCTGGCCTATCTGGTCACCTGGACCACCTGCCTTGCCTCCCACCTGCTGCAAGCCGTCTTCGAGCACACCGTCCAGCTGGCCCAGGCCCAGGAGGCTGAGCCGCCGCAGGGCTCAAGACCCTCATCCGCGTCCCTGCTCCCCGAGCCTCTGGGCCCCAAGGCTGGACCAGCCCTGCCAGAGCATGGGACTCCTACAGAATAAGTGTGTTCCCATCTGCCTTTCTGGATCTGATCTGGCTTGGGGTCTTGCTCTGTGTCCCTCCTCCCTACTGGTGTGTGTGTGCGAGTGTGCGTGTGTGTGCGTGCATGCATGCCCTAGGGCTGCCTGTGGGAAGGAAATCACATTCCACGGGCCCCTGACCTGTGCCAGATAACCCTCTCAGATGCTTTACATGCATAATTTTGTTTAAATCTCATAGCATCACAGGGGTCAGGTTTGAGTAGCTCCATTTTCCAGATGAGAAAACTAAGCCTCGGAAGGTTGAACCATTCCCCAGTTCCCCAGACCAAGTCAGGGGAGGGGCCAGCACTGGACCCTAGGTTTCTGGTTTCCCAGAACCCCTAACTTTTGCTAGGTCTGCGCCCCTGATTCTTAGGACAGTTGGTGCCCAGGGCTCTAAGGGAGATGGGTCGTTAGAGACTCTGGCCTCTGGGGGGTGCTAAGGCCTCACGTTTCAGAGATTTAGAAAGTTCTTTGAGATGTAGGAACTCCTCAGCTAGTCTGCAACTAGTCCATCCATTCAATTACACTCTTAGCCACTCACTTTACGACTCAGCTACCCATCCATCCATCCATCCAACCAACCATCCATCCAACCATCTGCCCATCCATCCATCCATCCATCCATCCATCCATCCATCCATCCAACCATCTCCCCACCCATCCCTCTGACCATCCATCCCTCCATCCACCCACCCATCCATTCATTTCTCAGCTTGTTTACACACCCCTACCATCCATCCACCGCTCCCCCATAAATCCATCCATAGACCCATCCATCCTTCTTCCCCAGGGAGAGGGAAACATCCAAAATCTCAGCTGGGGGAGCCAAGCAAGCTCAGGTGCAGTGGGTCAGTCTCCCCCTGGCCCTGAGCCCAGTAATACCATGAGAGGAGGGGGAGGGATGGTTTCGTGGGGGTTAGCAATCACCTTCCATTCACTCCCAAGCCCGAGGGTGCTGTGATTGTGGGAAGATGTTCCAGAGAGTTCTGCCCCATATTTGCCTTCTGGATTCTGTTTCCTGGGGAAATTTGGGCCAGATTCCTGCTCTGCCTCCCATATGGACCCGTAGATGGCCCCGGGTAGGTGTGGGGTGAACTTCTGGGCCCTTCCTCCGAGTCTGAGGAGCACACCCAGCCTGCTCCTGGGGGGAGACGTCTGAAGGGCTCCCCTCTGGCCCACACGGCAGAGCATGCGCTGGGAAGGTGCTGGAGTAAACCCGACTGGGATTCCAGAACATACTCCCAACTTGTAGGGAAAGCCGTGCGCTGAGGCGTGTGGAGCTGGCCTGCTACTGAGGCTGGGGATGGCGGGGAGTGGGGCTGCCTGGGCCCAATCGGGTGTGATGGGACTGTGGCCTGCTTGGGCCTGGGATGCCCGGGAGTGAGGAAGGGGGTAGGTGGAGAGGGGCCTTAAGGGCCAAAGGGGGACAGGAAGGGGACGGCTTACACCCCCTGGAGGGCGGGGAGGGGGGAATGACAGGAGCAAGGATGGGTCTGGGGGAGGGGCTGGAGGCTAGGACCAGCAGGGAGGCTGGCACGGCCCTGGGCAGTGGGGCTAGAGGCGAGACTGTGTGTATGACACTAGTATTTTTCCTTTTACTAACTTTTTAAAACATTACCCACAACACAGACATGTTAAGGTAAACGCGTTCCCTTCCTCTCCAGTTGGAAACTCGAGAGAAACGGGGTGGTCTGTGTGCTGTGGACCCTTCCAGCCACGGTGCTTGGCATACCTGCGAGCCCGAGGCCAGGCCGCCCCGTCACACCTGCAGCCCGGTCTCCGACCGAGACCCGTCCTCCTACGCACATCAACAGGCCAAAGGCCTTTTTGCCTTCGATGACATGCCACCGGCCCATGTCCAAGTCAGTCCGCGTGGATGTCTTGTGCTTCCTAGTGGCTGCGTCGAGGTTGGCTCCCAGTTCTGCTCTCTCCCTGCGAGGGAGCTCTGAAGCACCAGAGGGGGTGGACCCCCAGGAACCGCATGCGGGCTCGGGCAGGGGCGGGTGCAGGTGGGAGCTGGCCCCGGCCCTGCGGAGCTCCTCCGTGACCCTCCACCTGCCGCACTCCCACCTCTCCTGCCTCATCCCTAGCGGTCTGGGGCCGAGATATCTGGGGCACTAGGGACGGGCTGGGGCAGGGGCTGCGGTCAAAGAGGCCAAGAGCCTCTAGGACCTCTGGACCCGAAGCATGGGCTGAGCTGGGGCCAGGAGACCAGCTGGGATTCAGGATGACGCTGTCCCGGGCATGCACACCTGAACTTGCCTTCTCAGACAGCTGGCTCCCAAATCCTTGGCCGCTGGCAAGAATGAGGCCGCAGCTGGAAACGGCCTGGCCTCCACTTTCCACACTGGGGCTCTGTAGAGGCGGGGGGTGGGGGTTGTGGTGTCCGGGTGCCGGTGGGGCGTGGACACTCCAGTGTGGCTTCCTGGGCTAAGTGGCCACTCAAACGACACACTGGTGAGACTACCTCAAGGCCCGAGAGGCAGAGTAGGCCTGAGGGCGCACTGGGAGCCCATCCTTTGGGTCGGGGTGGCTGGGAAGCCTTCCTGAAGGAGGGGCCATTTGAACTGGGTTTATAAGAGAGGAACGCACCACAGCCCCTGGGTGCTGGCCCCAGACTTGCCCCGTGCTGTGTGAAGGTCGCCAGGCTCCAGACCTCTCTGGACTTGGCTTTTCCTAGTCGCTGTGGCCGACCTGTGCCGAGGGAAGGGCCCCGGCTGTGTTCCAGAACACAGGCTGACACCTGAGTCCCCCCAGGAAGCATCCAGTCTGGGGAGCTGGGGCAGCACTGAGGCCACAAGGCTTTCGAGAAGGTTCCCTGGGGCCTGAGGAGAAGGCCTGGTGGCAGACACTTGGTTCCCTGGCTCTGGCCTGCTTCTCGCCGTGACCTAAGTGAAGCTCGGCCCCCGGGTCTCAGTTTCCATGTCTATGCAGTGTGGGGTGACCGGGTTATCCCGATGGGACAGCCAGCGCTCGAGGAGGGATGCTCCGGCTGGGAGGAGGTCTGGAGCGGGGTGGGACGGGGGCCACACGTGCATCTTTCCCCAGCTGAGCTACACGTTCAGGCCTCACCAGAAGTCCTCCAGGGCCTACCTAGGGCCCAGGGGCTGGGGCTTGGGAGGAAGGCAGGAGGGCGAGAGGCTGCCCCGACTGCCCCTCTCACAGAGCGGGCAGTTCAGAGGTCTTGGGGTAAGAAAGCCTCGGATTTGAATCCCGGATCCACAGTCCGCTGGGACCCTAGGCCTGTGAACCTCAGTTTCCCCACCTGTAAGCAGGCCCGATTCTAGGACCTCAGGCCTCCCAGGACTGTCACCCGGTCTGTGCCTGAGGCAGGAGGGACTGGGAACCCAAGCTCCCCCTCTCTCGGGCCTGCTGCCTTCCCAGGGCCCACAGGAAACCCCATTCCTGAGGCCCCAGGGCGAGGACGGTCGGTCCATCTGCCTCGGGCCTATGTGTGTGGAGGGGCCCTGGCCTGGCGGAGGAAAACAAGTGGGGGGCGGTGGTGGGGGCTGCTGCGGGCAGGGTGGGGGAGCTGGCTGAAGGGCTGGCCGGCAGCTCCACGCAATCTGTCTGCTATGCGGCCCCGGGCCTGGCCTGTATTTATTTATGCTGAGTGTATATTTATATCAGCCCCTTTCTCATTAATAGGGCAGGAAATGGCTGGAATTGTTACATACCTGGCCGCCCAGGGGTCCCGCTCCGCCAAGACACACAGGGCGCTGGCTGCCCAGCCATGACGGCCTGCGAGTGGCCCCCTCCTCGCTCCCTGGCCCCGAGTCGCTGGCCTTTCGCTGACCTGGCTTGCAACGAGTTCCCCTCTTCTTCCTCGAACTCCCACGCACTCCCGAGCCCGCAGCCCTGGGAAAGGGGCTCGTTTTCTGGCATGTCCCTGTCCCCCTGCTCCCGACACCATCCCAGCCTCAGGAGAAACAGGGGTGTCAGGCGCTGTCCAGGTGCAGCTTGTCAAATTGGGGGAGGGGGCGTGGGACAGATGACAGGGAGAGCCTCTGAGTGAGAAATGGGGGTCCTCTTGATTTGGGGGATGGGGTCCTGGAGCCCTAGGGCGGGGTATGGGCAGCAGAGGAAGAGAGGGGCTGGAGAGAGCCCTCTTGAGGCTTGGGGGTGGTCCCCCGGGCTCTGCTCCCCAGCAAACCCAGCCACACGGCCACCAGGGCCGAGCCCGCTGCTGGTGGGGGGCTCATCCTGCTCCTGCCTTCCTGGCCACCGTGGCTAGCCGAACCTTCCCTAGCGGCCCAGTGGCCCCCTCCCCGGCCCCCAGGCTGTACTCAGAAGCAAGCCAGTGTCTCTCCAGGCCGAGCTCTTGGGTGTGGGCCCCAGGTGAGCCTGCCAGAGCTGAGAGGCGCAGTCCTCTCCCCAGAGCACTCGCCTGACATAACCTGTCAGGGCTTCGGCCTCAGCCTGCTTCCCCGGCCAGCCTCCCTCCCCAGGCCACACTGTGTTGTCCTACCCTCTCCCCACCTCGCCAGCCACCCCCCCCCCCCCCCCCCCCCCCCCTCTCGGGGGGGGGGCCCCCCCCCCCCCCCCCCCGCCCCCCCCCCCCCCCCGCCCGTGGCTTTGCCGGGGTGGGGTCAGAAGGAGCCTGCAAAGGGCCCACCAGCCCTGGGGCGGTAGCTGTGCCTGCTTCCTCTCCCCTCAGGGGCCCAGGAGCTGTGTGCATGCCGCAGAGGCCTCTTCTGGGCCAGGTCTCCTGGCTGCTCCCTTGCTGGTCAGTTGGTCCTGGCCTCCGCCGACTTGTGCCCTCTGCGGCCTCCATGCCCTCCCGGCTCAGAGCCCAGAGCGGGGCCAGTGTGCAGACCTGGCCGCTGGGCTCACCCTTTGCCCTCATCCCTCGATCTCCTCAGTCCTTCTAGGGTCTGGGGAAAGGGCCTGGCAGGGGGCGGCTCCCGACATCGAGGAGGAGACATTGAGAACTTTCGGTTCTCTGGGCTGAGAGCCCCCTGGGTGGTGGGAGGGGCTGC